CCCATGGCTGCATCAACAGGCCTTGCTCTAGTTCTTCCATCTGCAGGAAAGTCCTAATTTAGCACAGGGCTCCAGGATATTCAGCCCCCGAGAGGACCACTCACGATTCCATGGCAACTGGAATCGTGTGAAAACCCTCCCCAGGAAAACAGACATAAAAGCACAACTCTTGCTTTACATGGCCAGCTTAACTACCCCTTCACACCTGACCTAAAATTAGTTTAGAATCTGGGGCTGGAGAGATGGCACAGAGGTTAAGAACACTGATCGCTTTTCCAGAGGATTAGGGTTGAATTTCCAGCACCCACATGGCAGTTCACAACCATCTGTAACTCCAGTTCCAGGGGATCTGAGGCCCTCTTCTGGCCTCCTCAGGTACTGCACATCTAGTATCTATGCATGCAGGAGAAAAACACTCACACACAGAAAATAAAAACAAGCCTGGCGGTGGTGGCGCACGCCTTTAATCCCAGCACTCGGGAGGCAGAGGCAGGCGGATCTCTGTGAGTTCGAGACCAGCCTGGTCTGCAGAGCTAGTTCCAGGACAGGCTCCAAAGCCACAGAGAAACCCTGTCTCTAAAAACAAAAACTTTTTTAAAGATCAGAATATTGATGGCTGGTGGTGTACACACCTTTAATCCCAGCACTCGGCCAGCCTGGTCTACAGAGCGAGTTCCAGGACAGCCAAGACTGCACAGAAAAACCCTGTCTCAAAAAACCAAATTAAAAAAAAATCGGATTGGGGGCTGGAGAGATGGCTCAGAGGTTAAGAGCATTGCCTGCTCTTCCAAAGGTCCCGAGTTCAATTCCCAGCAACCACATGGTGGCTCACAACCGTCTGTAATGAGGTCTGATGCCCTTTTCTGGCCTGCAGGCATACACACAGACAGAATATTGTAATAAATAAATATTTTTTTTAAAAATCGGATTATTTCTTACGTTAAGTTCCTAAAGAACAGAAAACATGTATTTACCAGGTATGGTGGTGCATGCCTGTAATCCCAGAACTTAGAGATGGAGCCTGGGAGTTCAGGATCCTCAGACTGGCTGGGGACACATGAGTCAGATGCACCTTGATATAAAAGCAGAAAAAAAGGAAGAAAAAGAAGGAAAGGGGAGGAAAGGGCAGATCTCTTTCTTCCATAGTGTTAATTCAGCATATTGGTGCATTGAATATGGGAACCCAAGCCAATCCTATTGAATCTTTACTTAAATCCCATATATGTCAATGCTATCTTTCCCAGAACTTTTAAAAGGAAAAGAATGATTCTTGTCTTAAAAAAAATTTGTCAGGGTGGTGGTGGAACGCGCCTCTAATTATAGCACCTGGGAGACAGAGGCAGGTGGCTCCCCAAGTGCGGTGCCAGCACGGTCTATAGTGAGTTCTAGGCAGCCAAGGCTACACAGAGGATCCCTGTCTCAAAATGCTAAATAAATAAAACTTAAGTCCTAAATGTGAGGGTCAGGACACTTAAATTAAATTATTTGGTTGCTAAACGCAAAGTATGGGTCGGTAGCAAAGGGCACTTGTGGCAAGCCTGATGAGCTGGGCTGGATTCCTAGGATATCCGTGGTGGAGAAGAGAATGACCTTCACATGTGCAGCAATAAGTGCTATATTTCCTTTGTTTTGTTTTTCAAGACAAAGTTTCTCCGCTTAGCCCTGCTGTCCTTGAATTCACCTTGTAAACCAGACTGGCCTTGAACTCAGAGATTTGCCTGCCTCTACCTCCCGAATGCTGGATTAAAAGCATGTGCCACCACCACCCATGCTATAATTTTAATAATAAAAAAAAGAAAAAAAGAATACGAAACACATGAAATCTGGAAGCAAACATAAAATCCTAAAGCAGACTTGGTGATATGCACCTATAATCCCAGTACTGGGGAGAAGGAGGTGAGAGGGCCAAGGTTGGGCTGGGGACTCTACAGGTGCAGCGCTTGCCTACAGAAAAGCCTGGTGGGGTGGTATGCACCTGTAGTCCCAGGAGAAGCCAAGAAGGGGGCAGCTACACCCAGGCCTACTTACCAAAGCTCTAGGCTGAGACTCTATCTCACACAAACAGTAGGAGGTGCCTGAGGACCACCTCCGAGATTGTCTTGTGACTTCTACATGTACATGTGACGCACACATGTACATACATCCTTACCCCAGATAAGAGAATATGAAATGAATAAATAAAATTAAAAAGTAAATGAAATTTTAAAATTTTCAAACAAACAAAAGTTCAACCTCCATAGTGAGTTCAAGGCCAGCCTGGACTACAGGCAACCCTGTCCCAATTTAAAAAAAAAATCCCTAAAACAGGGGTTCATTTTGAACTTTTAATTTGGTTATCCTCTCACAATTTCATACATATATAATGTACTTTGATCATACTTTCCCTTGTGTATAATAGAAACCCTTACTCAGAGTCTGTTCAAGTTAATCCTCTACAGTTATGGAAAATTCGTGTGTACGTGCGTTATAGATGCCCACAACCGCCAACACATTAGTAACGAGCCGACAGTAATGACAGCGTCGTAACAGACACACAGTGGCACACCAAGGGTTAGAAGGAGCATGAGAAATGTTCCAGTCCCTTTCAGCAAAAGAGCAGGCAGCATACTTCACACCACAGAGTAAATGACAGTCCCACCTCACTAACTGGGCACAACCCCACATCACCAGCATGCCTTCTGCAGAGCTTGGAACTCTTAGAGACCAACATTTCTACCCCAATAAAGGATGCTGTGGTCTGGCGAGATGGTCCAGTGGTTAAGAGCACTGGCTGATCTTCCAGAGGTCCGGGGTTCGATTCCCAGGACCCACAAGGCAGCTCACAACTGTCTAATCCAGCTCCCAGTGATCTGACATCCTCACACAGACATACATGCAGGAAAAATACCAATGCACATAAAAATAAAATCATTGACAAAATGTTGTATCCTCAAACTAGTTAAATTTGTAATAACTAAGTCTGTCTGACAGAACTGATTTTTCCTGTGGAGATAAGGTAACTTCCTTCATTATTTTTATCTATAAATACAAAATGAAGGGAAGTGCCAGGAGGTGAAAACTTAAACTACAAAAAAAATAATGAAATTCCTGTTTAAATCTGATTGTCATTTCTAACCCAGTCTAAGCCATCATCTTCCTGGGTTTCAAAGCTGTCTCATGGCAATCCTTAATTTAGACTGTAACTAACTAGTGGTATATAAATGTATATAATCAGAAGGACTTCATACAGACCTAGTGGCATTACTGCCATCTCGGTTCAAGTATGTGCACTGTGTGATATCTGCACAGTGATGAGATGGCCTAATAACAGTTCTCAAAAGCATATGGCCATTTCGAGTGACACAGGACTGCCTAGATGGTGGTTATTCCAGCAGCCTTGAAACCGTTTGGGCAGAGATGGGCATTTCCATCACATGCTGTTCCAACAGGGAAGGCTGGTCTCGAAATGATTAAAGAGTCTTCGCTGGGCAAGAGTTGACATTGGAAAAGATTAGAAAGACAAATGAAGTTGCCAAACCCTCTAATTTCCCTTATAGGCACATCCTGGTATGCACTCTAAAAGTCACCAAAATTGAGTTTATTGTCCTAACTGGTCCTTCCTTAAGTCTCGAAGGTCAAAACCCACAAGTTGATGTTTTGTCTGAATGGAAAGGAAGTTGTTTAATGTGGTCAGGGACAGCTGGCCCTATAAAAATGTGTAAAACATTCAGCACCAGACCCAGGCTGGCTGCTCCTACCACTCAGCCTAGACTGAGGTAAGCGTAACTCGGTGAATCAGGCATGAGGAGGCATGCCTGTGATCCTAGCACACAGGAAGCTGAGGCAGGAGGATCTTGATTTGGAAAGCAACATACCAAGAGCCTCTCAATGGTAGAACGAATTGGAGCCTGAGATCGTCGCCAGCTTGGAGGGAGAAGGAATCTAAGTCCTCTGGGTTTTACTTTCCCCAGCACAAGTTGGTCTTCAAAGACCACGTTAACCAACTTCATCGGGTTGTCTTTCAAGAGTAAGAAAGTGAAGTTGCCCCAAGTTCTGTCACTCGGCCTTGGAGTCTTCTCATGATAGTTCCTACAACACCCTGCAGAGGGCAGCAAGCCCCAACAGACGAGCCGGTGGGGACACGCCCTGTGTCACCAAAGAGGGCAAACCTAGGCCCTGCAGCCAGAGGCCTCCCCGGGAGCGCCCTCCGGCGTCCATCCACCACTCCCGCAGGGCCTTCGTTCGCCCGTCTCTCATTTTTAAAGCACCGGCTGCACGCAGTTACGGCTCAGGACCCCAAAAGGGGTAGGGCCGAAATACAGTCCAGCTAAGGAGGAGCCTCATTCGCCACACGCGAAGACTGAGGCCGAAGACGGACTGCGCACGCGCAGGACCGCCCACTCCTGGAGGCCTGCCCCAAAGCCCGGTCTGCGCGCGCTCCCTTCTGGGAAAAAGCACCCGGGTAGGGGGTCACCGTGAAAGTTCCTCTCGGCTTTTCGGCGTCTGGCCGGACCCAGATCTCGGCGCCGACTCGAAACCGACCCCACCTACCGTCAACGGCTGCGGGAGCTCCCACCCTCCTCACGGCGGGCCTGCCCTCGTGCGCAAACTGAAAGGCCTAGGGTAGAGGCCACCCCCCCCACACACACACACTCGAGAAGGCGGAGTCTTGGGATATGGGGCGGAGCCAAGACCTGTGGCGGGCGGGGACCCGAAACCTCAGCTCTGCAGCTTTCCTAATTCCTTTCCAGTCGAAACGAAATATTACTTCCTCCTTGCCCCTTCTTCATTATTTACATCTTTATTATAGACTATCTCCTGCTGCACATTTTAGTTACTAATTTAAATCTTAAATGCAGGGACCCTGTCATATTCATAACTGCAGGTGCAGGACCTTGGTCGTGGGAATCACTCAATATAATTGAATGCTAGTACATTCAAGTGGCATTGGCAGTTCACAGGCAAAAAAAAAAAAATCTCATTTGCTTAATGACCCATTAAACCCATGGCCCCTGCTTCTGAACACGTTAGCCTAAGAGAAGGAAAGGCATCCCATTCTATTGGGAAAGGGCGCATCTAGAAGGGCCACAAACACCTTCTCACTGGGAGAAAGTATTGCCTCGCAGGTGAGACTCCAGCAAACTGGGAGTTACTGCTAGACTGATGAAGACAAAAACGGTGCTCAAGGTAATTACTGGGACCTAACCGCTTCTCTGCTAGCTGCAGGGCATGACTCCTCAGAGTTAGGCAACAAGTCGGCCATCTCTCCTGTTTTAGAGGGCCCTCCTTCCTCATCCTCAGAGTCTTCAGGCATTGGACAGAGGCAATGGAGAGGCTGTGGGATGTGGGAACACAGGTTTGTGATGGGTAACGGAAGCCCATACTCTTGAGCAGCCCTCTCCCTGGACTTCTGAGTTTCTTGGGCAGTGAAAGAAGTTGGCAGCCGTTGACCTAGGCCTCGCTCAATCCGTGTACCTGCAAAAGAGGGTTTGGTCAGGCTGGAGGGATAGCTCAGCTGTTAAGAGCTGGTTACTGTTCTTACAGAGGACCCAAGTTCGAGTCCCAGCTCCGATATCAGACGGCTTACAACTGTATCTCTGCATCTGGGAGGATGTGCATTCGTATGCATATATCCACAGATGCACAGACATACACATAATTTAAAATGAAAATAAATCTTTAAAAATAAGTAAGCCAGGCATGGTGGCACACAACTTTAATCCTAGCACTCGGGAGGCAGAGACAGGTGGGTCTCTGTGAAGTTGAGGCTGGTCTGGTCTACAGAGTGAGTTCCAGGACAGCTAGGGCTGTTATTCAGAGAAAGCTTGTCTCGGAAAAAATAAGTAAAAGGAGGGGCTGGGCTGGTCATTACCCAACCCTGGTCCCAACTTACCAGAAATGGTGTTTTCTAGAAGAAAGCCCAAAAGACCCGCTAGAAAAATGGGTTCTGCCAGCAAAGAACGAAGGAACATATCCAAGGGGCTCCAGCCTACAAAGGATTGGGGCCAGGCAGGAAGGTAACTGATACTGTCCAAGGCAATGTGTCTTCCCTTTCAGACCTAAATTAAGTCTTGGACCAGGGACAGTTTTCACTAAGCCATCATTCCATCCCACTACAGTGTGTCCCGCTACAAACTCCCTTTCCCACACTCAGGCCCTTCCCAGAGGATCCCTCTTAACACTGTGTTTTCTTTTTTTGCTTTTGTTTGTTTTTGTTGTTGTTCTTGTTGTTTCGAGACAGGGTTTCGCTGTAGTTGTGGAGCCTGTCCTGGAACTAGTTCTTGTAGACCAGGCTGACCTCGAACTCACAGAGATCTGCCTGCCTCTGCCTCCTGAGTGCTGGGATTAAAGGGATGCGCCACCACCACCCGACAACACCATATTTTCTAAGCACCCACATACCCTCTGGATTCCTGATGTTCAAGGCTCCCTTTCTCTGGACAGTTTGGTATTAAAAAGCCCTGTCTCTTCCACTTCTGACCTTTGGTGCTTCTGACCTTTGGTGCTCTAGCCTGAGCCTCAACACTTCAGTCCTACAACACTTTGGGCCGGGTAATTTTGCTATGAGCAGCTGTCCAGTCCACTAAAGGATGTCTACCAACCTCTCTAAGCACCGAATGCCCGTAACAATCCCTTTTCTCACTGAATGTGGTGGTGCATGCCTTTAATTCCAGCACTCAGGAGGCAGAGGCAAGAAGACTCTGAGTTCAAGGCCAGTCTGGTCTACAAATCAAGTTCCAAGACATCTGGGTGGTTACTCAAAAAAACCCTGTCTCAAAACAAGCGAACAAACAAACAAAAAAATCCTCTTTCTCCAATTTTGTAACATCTGAAAAAAAAAGTCTCCAGACATGGCTAAATCTTCCACATGGAACAAAACTTGAAAACCACGGCTCTGGATAACCCACGCTGTTTGTGGCTCTCAGGATACCAGGATACGCTACTTCTGTCCCATAATCCTATCCTTTATCTTTGTGGATGGTGGAAATGTGACCAAGAATGACCTTATCAGCTGTCCCTGTGGTTGACATCATAATCTTGTCACTTGGGAGTCTGAAGCAGGAGGATTGCCAAGAGTTTGAAGCCAGACAAGTTTCCAAAAGGAGACCCTGTCTCTCACACAGAGAAATGGCCTTTGCCAAATAGGTTTAAGTTTTTCCATCCTCAAAGACCAATTGGTTCTACTGAATCACCTCAGTCAGAAGCTACTCTTGTCATTGAGTGCCATGGGTCCTTTGCTTTTGTTTTTCTCTGGGCCACTCTGTGTACCCCTGACTGGCGTGGAACTCACTGTGCAGACTACTGGCCTCAAACTCGCAGAGGTCCCACAAGCCGGGGTTTAAGGCATGGTCTGCCATGCCCTCCTCACGGCTCTTGTCTTAACCTCCTTGTCATGTTCCTGAACAAATCCCCTCCTTCATACCACTGTACCATCCAGAAGCACTTTTGTGTCTTGACCTAGTTAGCTTTCTTTAAAAAAATTTGTTTGAGGGGAGGAGTTTTGTAACTGGCCAGCCTGAACTGTCAACTTGTCACTGCCTAGAGTTACCTGAGAAGAGAGTCCCAACTGAGGAATTGCCTAGATTAGATTGGTTTGTGAGGAAGTCTGTGGGGGAATTGTTTTGATTGGTGACTAGTTTAGTAAGGCCTGGCCCACCATAGGCAGTACCATCCCTAGACAGGTGGTCTTGGACTGTATAAGAAGTTAGCTGAGCATAAGACAGCATCCTCCATGGTACTGGCTGTGAAGTGAGTTCCTTGTTTGGAGGTAACACTGTGTAGATTAGCAAGCAGACCTGCCTTAAAGATTTTGCCTTGAGTTCCTGCCATGGCTTCCCTCCAGGATAGACTGTGGCCTGGAATAAGCCTCCCCCTCCCCCAGAGCACAAAAGCAGGAGCATAGTGCTCAATAAACGTTTGTTAAATAAATGGATGAAGTACATGCAAAATCTCATTGTGAGAACAAGAATTCAGAGAGCCTAAAGCAGTGGCTCCAACCTTCCTAATGCTGTGACCCTTTAATACAGTTCTTCATGTTGTGCTGACCCCCAACATAAATCTTATTTCCTTGTTTGTTTGTTTGTTTTTTTGAGACAAGGTTTCTCTGTGGCTTTGGAGCCTGTCCTGGAACTAGTTCTTGTAGGCTCTTGTAGACCAGGCTGGCCTCAAACTCACAGAAATCTGCCTGCCTCTGCTTCCCAGGTGCTGGGATTAAAGGCGAGTGCCACCACTGCCCGGCAAATATCTGTGCTTTCTGGTGGTCTTAGGCAACCACTATGGTCATTAGGGGTCATTTGACCCCCAAAGGAGTCATGACCTACAGGATGAGAACCACTGATCTAAAGCCTCAATCCCACTCCTTTTTTCTTCTCCACCCCACCTACCTGTGTTGAACTCTGGGGCTTCCCAGAGCCACCTTGGCAGAAGCAAGGCCATAAAGATGGAGAAGCCCACGATGAAGACATTTCGCCCAGAGTCAATGTCAGCCAGGTGGAAGCTGGAGAAGCCAGCAGACAGAACTACAGCCTGGGTCACTCCCAGTACCCCACCTACCTCATACAGAAGAAAACACAGTGGTAGGAAGAGGACAAAGCTCAGGGTTTGTAGGGTAGGCAGGTTGTAATGGGGAAAAATAACCATTAGGCTTGTTTGTGATTCATCAAGAAACTCAGTTGGGCTGAGAAAACAAGAGCATATGTCCATATCCATTCAGAGAAGCTATTTAGAAAGAAAGGGCACAGCTTAGCCAGCTGGTTGGGCCAAATAGTATTCTAATACCTCTCTTCACATCTATTCACTTACCAAGCACGGGCAGTGGGATGTTGATGAATAACTGAGCCAGCCTTGGGGAGAGCCCAAGACCCACGCAGAATAGCCCCACCAGGTGGGCTACTTGCCGCGAACCAGTCTGCATAAAGAAGAGACACTAGAGAACACAGCCGACTCCTTAGACTGTACCAGGTGTTTGCTTGGCCCACTTCATTTCAGCTTTCATATCCCAGCTTAAATGTGACCCTCCTAAGCATCCCAGCCACTCTACCCAAAGGTACCACCTTTGCTCAGTCCATACACCACTGCTTTCAGGACAGTGTTTACTACCCTCAAACTATGCTATATACTTCCTTTTTATGAAGTCCCCAAGAGAGCAGGGCTTTCTCTGACTCATTCTTCAACTGTAATGAGCCTTGGCAGAGCTCCCAATTCACCCGACACACCAATTTCCTGTTTCTCTACATGCATAGCATTTTGTACTTCTAGGCACCTCCCTCAGTGAACTGCCTGACTGAGAGCTCGCCCAGCTGACAGTCTATCAGTATGAGCTCCTGCCCTTGTACCTCCAGTCCCCTCAGTCCTGTCCCAGATCCACGTACCTGGAAAAGACTCACTGTGCCTACGTTAGGGAAGCTGGATGCAGTGCCCAGGGGGCTCCCCAGCAGCCCTGCCAGCACACTGCCCAGCCCCTCCAGGCTCAGCCCTCGACTGCAGGCATGTGGTGGTGGAGGAGACAAATGCAACAGCTGGCCACACAGGGCATAGCAACCCAAGGAACTGGTGGAGGCTGCCAAAGCCATGGAGATGCCTGCAGCCAGGGCCCTGGGTGTCAATAAGGGCCAATCCCACTCACCTGAGGAAGAAGAAGGAGTCATCTATAGTCATCTATGGACTCGAGCCTGGAGCATCCCTCTGCCTCTAAATGCCTGTACCACAAGAATCCCAGATGCTCTCTAGTGGTTCAGCATACTACTGTTGGGCAAAACCACTGAACTCTAAAGACCTTCTCTTCACTATGATCTACAGGGTAATCCTTGATCTCAGACTCTCAGTTCTGTTCCTAGTCTCATTCCTTATCACATTCCACCTTACTTCAAACACATTAGCTTTGTTTTAGGGACTGGACTTGCTGTGTTCCTGGCAACCACAGGGCCCTTTCATATGCTGTTTACCTAGTACACTCCTGAGTCCTGTTTACCTACTGTCTCCTGTATCCTGTCCAACTAGCGCCCATTCTCCCCACCTCTTACATCTCATCTCACTTCTTCAAGGGTTATTTCTCCCACCACATTCAAGCGTGGTGATGCATCCCTGTAATTACAACACACGCAAAGTACAGAGAGTTTAAGGCCATCGTTGACTACAAGGCAAGTTCAAGGTCAACTTAGGCTATGTGAGATCCTATCTCAGAAAAGGGGGAGGATATAAGAACTGGGGGAAGGGGAGAAGTGCTGTGAGATGCTCTCTTCTGGACATGACATGACAATTGCATTCATGAGCTCACAGCGGCTACCACTACTTGCACAAGATTTATACAAGAACAAGCCATTCGAGATCCAAACATGGAAGCAGGAGTGTGGTAAAAGTTCATGAGGCTTCACCCCAGCTGAGGAGATAGGTGATAGCTGCTGGGGAAGGGGCAGCCAACTTTCTTCAGAGGTGTGGACCCTAGTAGGTTGCCCTTGCTCCAGCAGATGGCTCCACACCCATGCACAGACAGGCAGCACTAATCAGACTCAGTGAATCATTTTTCTGAAGGACATGAAGATGGGATGGGGATGTGTTGGAGGCAGTGGGAGGAAAGGTTGGATATGATCAAGATGTATTGTATACATGTATGAAACATGTCAAGAAATAATTTAAAATATATTTAAAAAGAACACTTTTTTTTTTTCAAAACAGGGTTTCTCTGTATAGCTTTGGAGCCTGTCCTGGAACTAGCTCTTGTAGACCAGGCTGGCTTTGCACTCACGGAGATCCATCTGCCTGCCTCTGCCTCCTAAGTGCTGGGGTTAAAGGTGTGTGCCACCACCACACGACCTAAAAAGAACACTTCTAAAAAGAAAAAAATCTAAACAACAACAAAACAAAAAACAATAACAAAAAAAAAAACAGTTCTCTCAACCCCTCTAATAGTATCAAATTTTCTCTCACTACAAATCCTAGTTTTACTTAGGTACATTTACTACAATGATAATTTTAGATTTACTTAAATATATATATATATATATATATATATATATATATATATATATATATATATTGCCAGCTCCATGAAGCAGACATTATTACTCCTGTATTCATCACTATGCCTACCATGTGCTGAGGGCCTGGTCAAAACTCAACAGGCCATTATTAAGCTGTTAATGAAGGGGGCTGATGTGGAGTTCGGTGTAATGCCCTTGCTGAGTATGCGAGTATGCACGAGGTTCTAAATTGACGGACCCCTACCATTATGACAAATAAACATGAATGACAAAGTTTCACATATGCTGACTCCAAGGCAATAACTCTACAGTTACCAACAGAAATGTCCACAGGGGCTGATAATGTAAAGTTGCTAGTTGGTCAGCGATCTCAAGAGTAAGCAGAGGGTAGCCGGGCGGTGGTGGCGCACGCCTTTAATCCCAGAACTCGGGAGGCAGAGGCAGGCGGATCTCTGTGAGTTCGAGACCAGCCTGGTCTACAAGAGGTAGTTCCAGGACAGGCTCCAAAACCACAGAGAAACCCTGTCTCAAAAAACCAAAAAAAAAAAAAAAAAGAGTAAGCAGAGGGATGGAGAGTAAGTATATATGGTAGGAGAGTAAGTATATATGGTATAATGTCTCCTGACACTGACCCAAATAATACACCTGCAGTGAAGTGGAGGGCAACTCCTCAAGTGGGCAATTTCTCCACCTGTGTTTTAAGAAAATACAGATTTAATTCAGAAGTGAGAGGTGAGTTCCATTAAATCTTTTATATGACTATGTGACCTTTTTTTTTTTTGGAGACAGGGTCTCATGAAGCCCAGGTTGGCCTCAAACTTGATATGTAGCTGTGGATGACCTTGAATTCCTGATCCTCCTGCCTCCACTTCCCAAGTATTGGAATTACAGATATGTGCTATTTCACCTGGCTGAAGTCTATTAAGTTGTGAGTTCAAAAAAATAGAAACCTTTATTTGATCAAGAGAATGGGAGCATAGGAGAAAACCTACCTGGGTGAGGCAGCCAAAACCATGGTGCCTCAGTGGGATCAGACAGCTGTAGGGGGATAACATTCAGACCCAGAAGGGCAGAGATGATCCACACACAGGCCACAGGGGTAAGCACCTGAAGGACAACACTGAGATGGAAAAGAGCTCCCTCCTACCCCAGAACCTTCTGAAACTCAGAAGCAGGAGACCAAAGGAACAATCCATGTCAGTCCCACACACTTTTTCCACTTTGACGGTTTTATATTATATATATATATATATATACATACATACATAAAATATTTTATATTTTGAGATAGGGTCTATGTAGCCCTGACTGTCCTGTAACTCTCTATGTAGACCAGGCTAGCCTCAAACTTACAGAAATCTTCCTGCCTCTGCCTCCCAAGAGCTAGAATTAAAGGCATGCACCACCATGCTTGGTTCAACTATTTTATTTATGTTTGGGGGCGGGCTTAAAGGCCATACAAGGGACTTGGCTTCTGGAGCAGGAGTTACATGCAATCATGAGCCACCCACATATGTAATGGGAGGCAAACTGGGGTCCTCCAGAAGAGCAGCAATGTCTTATGTTTATTGTCCATGTATTTCAGGCTGGGCTGAAACTTCCTATATAGCAGAACTTGAACTCTTGAGTCCTTTTCCCTCCCCCTGCCCGGTATGGAATCACCGGTGTGTGCCACCTCACCTGGCTATGTGCATCAGTCGGCCCTTCTCGCTCCATCTGCCCAGAGCCCCCACGTACCGAAAGGAGTCGGAAGACAGGAATATAAATGTGAGTTGAAGAAGTTGAAGCTGGCCTCCAGGAGCACAAGGGTACCCGGCAGGAGCCCAAGTGCTGAGAACAGATCACCATGAGCAGGATGAGTCTAGAAAAGAGAAGGAGCTCAGTGGGTCAGAAGCATCAGAACCCTGAAGGGTGGCAATGCCGGGGAGCAGAGTATCACAGAAGCTGCTCATGGAGGGGTAGGGAGGGACTCTGAGGTACCATAGCATGTGACTATGAATACCAGAGAGACCGAGGGAATTAAAGGAAAGGCTTGGATCCCAAATCTAAAACCTGCATCCCTGCCCAGGTGGCTAAGGAATCTAATAAGGCAGAAGCTCTGTCTGTCCTCCCCAAGTCTGCACACCCACTGGGTACCATCCCACACCTGTTAGGACTCACTTACAGCAAGGCCAGGCCCCAGTGAGCAGAACAGAACTGGGCCACCTCCTTGTGGGCAGAGAGCCCTGCTACAACCAGGCTGGGTGCCAGCACCAGTGGTCCACAGTAGGGAAAAACACGGCCAGGCAACCCTAGAAGTCCTATTGTGCCCTGCAGCAGCCCGGATACCACCACTGCCCCTGACACCTGATGAAGGAGAGGAGAGGAGAGGATGGGTAGAAGACGTTCTACTCAATCAAGTTTACTTCAGTCTGGAATTTCTTTTTTTTTAAAATCATTTATTTACTTTTATTTCATTGGCATTGGTATTTTGCCTACATGTATGCCTGCGTGAGGGTCCTGGGATTAGAGACATTTGTTAGCTGCTATGTGAGTGCTGGGAACGGAACCCGGGTCCTCTGGAAGAGCAGTCAGTGCTCTTAACTGCTGAGCCATCTCTCCAGCCCCAACCTGGGATTTCTAACAAATTCCAAGGACAGGCTTCTGCCTTGCTTCCTTCCCGGTAGCATCGGTGTCTGCACAATGGAAATGAGAGTGTCTCCAGGCTGGGATCACCCCGTCCTTCTGCTGTCTTTTTCCAGGCACTCACCTCTCGGAGAGAAGTGTTCCAGAGCTCCAGGCCATGGCAGCTTGACAAACTACACAGATGCAGTGAGAGGGAGGCTGAAAGTTTGGGATACAGAGAGGTATAAATGGAGTAGAGACTCAGCGCTCTCCTGGACTGATGCCTGGTATGACCCCCCAAGACCTCTCTCTCTACAATACCCGACAAGCTCCAGCACATACTTCTGCCACTAGCCTATCTTTACTCTGTGCTCACCGTTTCCAGGGGTCTTGGTAGTCAGCGATGGCTTCTGGTTTGTCAGCACCAGTGCAGGGATAAGGAACTCTAAGGATGGAGCCTGGACTAGAGGCAGCCTGTAGGAAGGGCAGCCCCAGCAGGTTTGGAAACGTGGCAGTCAACAGGGTTCCCTTGTCTCTTCCCTCTCTCAAAGGAGTTCCCCTCACCTGCTGCCCATCCAAGTTTGCAGGACCGTAGACACACCACAGGAAAAGAAACTGGAAGCCAGTAGCTGAGCAGGTGAGTATGAGAGCCCCCCTGGGGGAAGGCTGTGAAGCAGCAGCAGGTGGGAGGCAGAGAGCAGAGATGACAGAACCAGGAAATGCTGGAGAGAGGAGTGCAGAGGGGCAGGCTTCAGAAATACCCATCTGTAGGTTTCTCGTGACTCATTGACTCCCTCCAAATACCAATTTCAACCAACTTCTGCACCTCTACCTCCTACCTGTAGAGCCAGAAGACAGCTGAGGACCCAGGTGGAAGGCCCACACCGAGAGGCCCATGAGTGGGAGGAGGGATTCTGGAGAGGGGGCAGCAGTGGTGGCACGGGAGCAGGAGCATCCTGCGAGCCCACAGCTAGGAGTGGAACGGGATGGAAAGGTGATCGGCTCATGCTGCCTGGCTGGATTGTGTCTTGGCTGCGCGGGATAGTTGAGTAAAGAAAGAGGTCAGAGTGTGGGTGGAGTGCACTGACTGTCGCGGGGAGGGGGTGGGAGTGTCAACGAAGCGGAGAGAGAGAAATAAGGGCTTGGGAGCAGGACAGGGCTCTTTCACCTTTGCCCAGCTCTTGAGCAAGTTCCATCAGCCATTAACCTAGCAGCTGAGTTCTGGACCCCTCCCTCAAGAATTTTCACCCATGCCCCTGCTTTTACCAGACTCTGAAATGGAGGGTTAGGGGAGACCTATCAGAATAGCCTCAAGAGATTAGATTTTGCAAACTCTCCTCTCACCATCAGCATTCAGCAGCATCTATTAGGTACACATTCTTCAACCAAACAAGACGTGCCCACATCCCATAGGACAATGACCACTACATATAACACACTCACTGTAAAGCAAGAGTAATTAATAGTAATGTGTATTTCAAAACGTGAAAGCTTGGGCACAAATAAACCAGAAGGCAATGGAACAGTCTGCTGCCGCCCATGCCCATAGATAGGGTCACTGTGGATGAGATGGCTACCTGCCAGCCAATGACATTTACTGGTAATTCAGATGGCATAAGCAGTATTGACATCGGCAACCTGGTTTCCTAAAATAGTAAGCAAACTTTTGGTGAAACATTGAACAAAGTATACATTTACTTTACATGGAAGTATAATTCCATAAAAATTGAGGCTTTTTTTTACTTTTGAGATTATTATTTCTGCCTTCCCTTTCCTCCCTCGAAACCGTCCCATATAGCCCTCCATCTCATTTTTCAAATTCATGTCCCTTTTTTCACTGTTACTACATGGATATATGTACATACACATATGTATTACTAACTATAACCTACTCAGTCTGTATGTTACTCATACTTCCAGAGCTGACCGTTTGGTACTGAGGAAGACTTACTCCCACTCCCAGCATCCCTTTGTTGCATTTAATTCTTTGTGGGTTGAGTCCTCAGGTTGATTTTTCCAAAATGCACAAAAATGTCTCATTTGCACTTAAAAAATAACTTTAGAATCGGCTAGGTGTGGTGGTATATGACTGTATCCCAACACTCTGAAGGCAGATGTAAGTGGAAAGCAAGTTCCATATCAGCCTGAACCTCACGAGTCAATTTCCAATGGCAGCTAACTCCACTTTTAATAGGCGCTAACAGGATTTTATATGCACAGTGATGTCTTAGAAACTTCATGGTAAAGGTTTTAAGTCCTTTAGGGAGTCTAGCATCCCACTCAAACTGAACAAATGCCAGTAGCATTCCCAAAGACTATACCCCCCCCCAAAAAAAGCCGGGTGGCAGTGGCGCACGCCTTTAATCCCAGCACTCAGGAGGCAGAGGCAGGCGGATCTCTGTGAGTTCGAGGCCAGCCTGGTCTACAAGAGCTAGTTCCAGGACAGGCTCCAAAGCTACAGAGAAACCTGTCTTGAAAAACCAAAAAAAAAAAAAAAAGAGTACATATCACAATGACCCTTGGGGGACCCACCAGCCCACTGACCTTACTCCTACCCCCCACTCCCTACACGATCTTTGGCAGTCAGTTAGCAGTCCTAATACACCACAGATTGTTCTTCCATTGATGACCCAGCTCTGGTTCTTCAACACCAGCTACTTCCATGAGTCACCTTGAAGAGGTCAGTAGGGCTTGCATTCTAGGAGCTCAAGTGGACAGGCTTTGGTACGTAAGGATTCACAAGGCTGGTACCCACCCAGAATACGTAATAACGGACAAGGCCTTCCCAGGCCTGGGACAGTCACTGCTTGTATCCCATGGTAGGCCACATCCCCCAATTTCAGGGCCTCTGAGGCAGTAGTGGCAGGAATGCAGGAACATTTGAATCAGGAATAACTATCAAACTAACAGGGAGTTTTGAAACAGAGTCAGAGAGAATGCTGACACACGTTAACAGGATGGAGCCTCTGACTTGGGAGGCAGATAAGAGAAGATCCTCAAAGGATAATGCAGAAGGAAAAGGCCAGGCCATGCAACAGAAACTGTTTATTAAAACCTCAGTTCTACAAAAGCGTGAAAAACTCAGATACAAAGCAGTGTGCCCAGAGAGCCTGTAAAGAGAACACCTAGAAAAGAACCGGTCAAGTGGGAAGCCTTGGAGCAAGATGCTAAGGTTGGAAGACAAAAGGATAAGGTTGAAGGACCCAGAAATCCCTGGTTGTGACAACTACATCCAAGGGATGGGTGTGGCAAGCTTCCTGCCTCAGGACGCCTTCCCTCAGCCACTGCCATCTCAGGGCCATCCGCCCCTGGTTTTCCTGCCCCAGGGACATCACAGGAACAGAACCACACAAATGCTTCCTTCTTCTCATCCACTTCCCACACCTCCCACCTTTACCTTTCCATCTTTGGAAACTCAAAAGCAAAAGTCTACTCCCCTAGGCTTGGGAAGGCAGAAAGATAGGAGCTTCTCTGTTATTGGTGACATGCCCCTGGTCACTGAGCTGAAATTGTCCCAGGCACCATCAGAGTTCTAGCCTACTAGCCAGCCTCTGAGGTCTGGGAGAGTGAATGACCTTGCTTTGCCCCATAATCTCTTGTGCTCCTACCCAGGAGGACAGGGGACCAGCCAAAGACCCAGAGAGGTAGCAAAAATCTAAATCAAGTTTTCCTCTTCCAGGTTCTTAGGGAGTCCCAAACCCTCTTTTACCGCACTCCTTAGAACCCTACCTAGCCTGGGAAAATAAAAGACTTGAGACGGGCCAGCTCCATGACACTAAAAAGAGAACATTGCTGGGGTTGGAGGAATGGAGGGGCTGCTGGGCTCCAGAGCCAGGGTGGGGCCAGGCCATGGGTGTGGTAAAAGGGCCGTGAAGGACCAATAGACACTGTATGGTTAGGCTGGTGGCAGGCATGGCAGTTTTGGGTGTTTCTCTGGAACTTCTGGCAAAGGGGGCATTTGTGGAGAAGAGTAGGTGGGACAGGAGGGTCTGGGGGAGGTACCGGAAGGGGTGTCAGTGAGGCCAGAAGACTGCCCCACAGGGGCGGCAACTCTACATTGCCTTCCAGGCAGCTGGAGACATTAGTCAGGCACTGTGGCACAGGGGAAGGTATGCAAGGCTGCAAGAGGCCTTTAGAAACCAGTCTGAGATCAGGAGGACCTGGTGAGGGGCTGCAGGACAGCCCCAAAGACTGATGTATTACAGCCACTGATGCCACAGCTAGGGCCACACTGCTCACATATGCCACGGCTAACAGGCAGGACAGCTGTAAGAGAGAAGATAAGAAAACCGCAGGCTGTTGACTATCTTTATTCCTACTCCCAGTCGCTCACGCTGAAGCTCTATGTAACTCCCTCTGCCTCCCCTGCTCTCCCATCTACTCTCAAACTTCTTCCAAGCCTTTCAGAATTTGCTTTCCAACACACACACACACACACACACACACACACACACACACGCTCGTGGGAGCCTCCTCAGGTCCCTCTCCTTCATACCCCCTTCTCACCTTTACCAGTCGCTGGCAGAGGGAGCCCAGAGACAGCTGCCATGCTGGCTGTTCCAGCAGCACACACAGGTCTGTGTAGGTGTACCAGCCCCGCCGACGTCCTTGCTGCTCAGCCACACTAGTATGGAGAAGAGCCCAGGGGCACCCATCAGAAGACACTAAGGAGCTGATCAAATACACAGATCCCTAGGCTACCCATGATCCAGAAGATGAGATTAAGACACAAACTTCAAATAAGCTGCTACCGCCACTGAAGGAAAGCAGAAAAGTTAGGCGATGACCACTTTGAGCAATTCTCTTTCTTTTCTTTCTCCCGGTTACACAGATCTCATTTCTAGCTCCTATGGCACTGGCCAATGCCTCTAAATGCCTCAAACCCCTCTTATCAATTTCTGGAACTCACCAACTCTCCAGCCAATTCAGCACCTCAAAGATCTCCCGAGGATCAGTATAGAGACGCCAATCCTGTGTGCAAGAAGAAGAAAGACAGGCATGGTAGTTCATCCCTATGATCCCAGTACTTGGGAGGCTGAAGCAAAAGTACTGCTGCAAGTTATAGGCCAGCCTGGGCTACATAGTGAGTTATAGGCCAGCCTGGGCTACATAGTGAGTTATAGGCCAGCCTGGGCTACATAGTGAGTTATAGGCCAGCCTGGGCTACATAGTGAGTTATAGGCCAGCCTGGGCTACATAGTGAGTTATAGGCCAGCCTGGGTCAAAGAAAATTGCTAACTACTATCCGAAGAGCTTGTGGTTTATTCTATCACGCCATCACCACCTACCTGACTTTGAATTAATTATCCCCACTACAAAGTACAAAGGGAGAAAATAAACCCAAGATTGGTCAGTGTCCACAGGGAGCTCAAAGTCTAAGACAGAGTTTGAAAGCAAATATTCAGAGGCCAACACTACAGGCTCTGCCTCCAAGTGTGCCCTAAAGGAAGAGGGTGAGATGCTACTTGTGGGCTCACTGTTCCAGGAGCCTATAAACTAGTCCTGAATGGACAGGAAAGGAAGACCCCGCCAAGAAGACACAAGAAGGACAGACATGCAAAGTCAGGTGCAGTACATAGACCTACAATCAGCATTGGGAGACAAAAGCAGAAGCAACAGGAGGCTCATCACAAGGTCAGGACCAGCCTTATCCACATAGTGAATTCTACAACAGCCTAATTTAAAACTTTCTTATTAAGAGACAGGGTCTGACTATGAAGCCCTGACGATCCTGAAATGGACCAGGCTGGTCTCAACCTCACAGAGATCTACCTGGGATTAAAGACATGCTCAAGCATACCAGGCAGAAAAAAATTAGACGAAGGTTGACAGCTACCTTAGTTATGAAAGACCTTATACACAAGCATGAGAAACTGAGATCCCACATAAAAGGAGTGCGCATGACATGTACACACACACACACACACACACACACACACACACACAGAGAGAGAGAACACAACAGAAAGCTGGGAGAGAACAAAGAATAAAGGAACGAAAACACAGATAAGAGCCACTCACCATGGCACTCAGGAAGCCCCTTTCCAAGGCATTGAGAGCAGGCACAGCCACTCCCCCAGCAGCTCCCCATTCATCATTGAAGACCTCCTCTTCCTCTCCTTCATCATAAAGGTATTTACTGGCCACCATCTGTAGAGAAGCCAGAAGTGGCATCAGTAGGGCTCATAGCTGGTGCCTGGCTCACTAGGGAGGTAAAAGGAGGGAGCCCCTCACCATGGAGATCAGAAACAAGTCAGAAGACGACACGTGCTGCAGGTAGTCAGGGTTTCGGTGCCGGAGCCGCTCAATGTACACAAGAGCTAACATCATCGCACAGGGGGAGATACAAGCCTCCCTGGGAGGTGGAAAGGACCAGTAATTAAACCCAAGGGTCCTTCAGCTCCTGAAAGGCTCGAGATGCTCATCTCTGTCTTTACACTTTCTTTTTAGAGACAAGAGCAACCCGCGCGTGCTCTCTCTCTCTCTCCCTCCTTCTCCCCGCCCCCACAATCCCAGGCTCACCGGGACACATGAGCTACATATTTCTTCTGGAGTCGACGGATAGGACTGGGTGCTGCCTTCTGAAGAAGTTCCACAGTAATGTCTGCAGGAGAGAAGGGAGCAGAATAGTCAACCCCGCCCCCCCAAACATACACATCAGTCCCCACAACTGTTTGGGAAGACCTAGGTCTGCAGTATCTGAGGCCTTGGGGACATGGCAGTCACAGAAAACTAGAGATCAAATTCTCCTAAGCTGGAAGGGTATGGTGAAATGTGCCTGTAATCCCACAGGTGACTGGATTACGGCATGGCTAGCCTGATCGACAGTGAGTTCCAGGCTAGTCAGATCTATGTAGTAAGATACTGCCTCTGCCTCAACCCTTCAGCCCTGGGTTTCCCCACCTTGCTCTCCCCCCCCCCCCAATTCTAAATAGATAAAAGCACATTCCAGTAGAAAAGGCTCTTCTGTTGAGTTATTCATGTTTATTTTTCACTAATGTTTTTCTTTTTTCTTTCTTTTTTTTTGGTTTTTTCAAGACAGGGTTTCTCTGTAGCTTTGGAGCCTGTCCTGGAAATAGCTCTTGTAGACCATGCTGGCCTCGAACTCACAGAGATCCGCCTGCCTCTGGGATTAAAGGCATGCGCCATCACTGCCCCGCCACTAATGTTCTAATAAGCGTGCTTTGTTTACTTGGGAGACATACAACAAATATAATTAGAAAACTTAAGTTCTGACCTTTAAATCAAAAGGGGAACCAGGACTTGAGGTTTAGCTCTATGATAAAATGCTTGCCTAGCATACACAAGGCCCTAAAAATAAGTGACTGCAATTTATGAGCTGTTTTTACTCACGTGGGCTAAAGAATGTGAAACGCGGCCTGCATTGTCAAACCAAGTACCAACTGAGCTAGTTATGAGACACAGTGCAGCTCAGAGGGAAAATGTCAAGGCATTTGGGTGACTACTAACAACCCTGCCCTCAAAGTTCTTACGTGCTCAGTCACACACACACACACACACACACACACACACACACACACACAGCCTAACCTGCCACAGGGCTGGAGAGTTCCTCCAGGCTGCAGTCTGTATCCCAGTCCCAGCCATAATAGAGTCTCCTTCGGATTCGAGCACTCAGTTTCTGGTGTCCTGGAAGGAACTGAAACAGGGCCAGTGATGGAGGGTAAAGGGCAGGGAAGGACTTGGTGGAAGTCCTGAGTTGGGAATGGAAGGCTGTGAAGGGCAGCAAGTTGGCTTTGCTGCCACTCGGCCTATGCGCCACCCAGCTCCGCGTTCTCAGGGTGTTTTGCTAATGGCACCCTAGTTCGGTTCTCATGAAGGGGAAAACAGACGCCCTGTCATCACTGAGGGCTCCCAGGAGAAAACTAGAAACCAGATGGACCCCAGTCTAATCGCCCATCCCTTCCTATAACCTAAGGGTTTGCCTCCAGGCCCAAGTGGCCCGGGCCTCGAGTAGGCATTGCTCTCAATAGCCACCCAATCCCGGGAATGGCAAGTAAGACAGCTCCCATTCCGCTCGGGCCCAGAGGGTAACGCCCCGGAATCCCGACTCCCAGCTTGGAGGGGCGGGGGGGGGAGCTAAGGACAGAAGGGCTGTGTTCTCACCGTGAAGTCCTGGAAACCGGTAAGGGAAAACGTGCCTTCTTCGTCCAGAAGGAGCCCAGCCAGATCCATCGTGCCGTCAGCCGCCACCCTGTGAAGGTGGAAGGGGGAGGAAAAGAACAGTAAGTGGCGGACAGAGCCGTCCTCCCCCGTTGGCCCACCTGCCCGCCTCTCCCGAAAGGGCCGCCGCCCCGGTCCGCGCAGTCTCCTCCCCTGTTGCCGGCAGCCGCAGGACGCCTCTTCCTGTTCCGCGCGCGACTGAGCCTCCCGGCGCCCGACAATCCGTGCGGCGCTCACCAGGCGGAGTAAGAAGAGGTCCCAGGGCCAGAAGTGTTCTCAGCCCGCGGTGCGTCTGCCTGGCGTTTACAAGCGGCGGGCGGTGTCGCCGGCGAGTCAGCCCGCTGGGGAGGAAGTGCCGCCTGGGGCCAGCCTCCCGCCGAGAGCCTCGGGTCTCTGGAGCCCCAAGCACCGGGGTCTGAGTTTTGGTTTACGGTTCCCAGGGGCCCGGGACACACCAAGGGTGAACGAGCTGGCCAGACCTTGTGGTAGTGGTGCAGATATTAACGAGACTAACATAAGAGGTAACAGACGAGTTGTTTCCCGGGCTTTGGTAGGGAAAGATGCACGCGCTCAGCAATGCACAAGAAAGATGAACACGAAACTTACCCGTGGGAGAACTGTGGACAAGATGGAAGGAAATCTGTTGAACCTTTATGCCCCTTAGGAGTTTAAAACTGTAAAAGTCAAATGCATACTGTGTTTTTGTAGGGTTACTCTAGCAATTAAATGATTCTCAAAAGATATGAAGCCTCAAAGGGCGATGTTAACATGTCTCCCAAAAGTAAACAGCATCTAAATGAGTTTTTATTTTCAAAAACGCCTTCCACCCAATCTGCCGGTGAAAGATTTGGGGGAAGAAAGAGCGTCGACGCTCGGAGTAGGAAAAACACAACTTTTCTAAGTTGGTGAGGCTGCTTTTAAGTCATTGAAGTAACGCGCTGGTGTTTGTTTATCCTCTGAGGGGAGGGGACTGGAGGCGTCGAGATTGAGTAATGGGAATGCCGCGCCCTTCCCGAGCCGAAAGAGATGCTAGCCGGGATCCTGGGCGCCTGGAGGCCCACTTCCTCCGGGAGGAGTCGCAGGTAAGACACGGGTCGCCAGCAGCTTCCCCAGCCGCCCTGACAACACGCGGAGAAGACAGCAGGCAGCGTAGCCTCAACAGCCGCCCCAGGTCACCGCTCCGGCAGCCTGGAAGCACACCTGCGTGGGTGCAGGATCACGGCAGCCGCCTGCGCGCACGCGCGGGCCTCCCATCCGGGCTGTTAGGTCGCATCACGTGACCGTGCGCTCCGTCACGTGACGCGAGTCCGCAGGTTCTGCTTGCCTGGGTGTGCGCCCCCTTCCGCCTGACGCGCCCCCGGCGGTGGCCGCGCAGCCCTGGCTCCTCGCGGGCTCGGGCAGCGGCTGCGGCGCGGTGATGGCGAGCAGCGGCGGCGGTAACACCGGCGCGGGTGGGACCCCGGGGCTGGGCCTGGGCCTGGGGCTGAGCCTCGGCATGGGTGAGGCCACCGGCGACGCTGAGGAGGAGGCGGCCGCGGCCGAGGCGGTGGGACGCCTGGCCACGTCGCTGTGGCTGCGGCTCCGCGGCTGGGAGGCGGTGCTGGCGGCCGCACAGCGACTGCTGGTGTGGGAGAAGCCGCTGCACAGCCTGGTCACGGCGGCCGCACTCAACGGCCTCTTCTGGTAACGGCCGCGGAGGAGGGGGCGGGGCCGGGCTGCGCGGGAGAGCGGGGGCGGGAGGACTGGGGGCGCCCTCCCTTCGAGGGCTGTCAGCCGCTGGAGCGGTGATCCATCATCAGGTTGCCCCATTTCTTAGTCTCTTGGTGACGGCTGAGGCTTAGAGGGCTGTCTCCCCGTCAGTGGATCTTTCTGTCCTTTTCGATGGGTTTGGGCACCTCTCACCCACTCGCGGCTGAGATGCCTGTCTCCCTAAGGTTGTTGTCTTCGTCGTCCCTCCGGCCCTTCTTCCTGCTCAGCATCTCACTTTTGACCTATTTCCTGCTGGATCTCTGGCATCCTCGCTTTCTCCCCGACGTTTCAGGTGAGTTTCTTCATTCCACATGCACTGGTCTGCACATGCCTTGTGCTTCACCCTACTGCGTGAGATTGAACCGTTAAGGGAAGGTGCAGCAAGGCCCTTTTGCCTCCGGGGCGTGCACTGTGCCCATCCGTCCCCATTTTAAGAAATTGCCCGAAACAAGAATCGCCTATCTCCCAAAATTAACGTTCTGTGGGGTTAGTAGTGAAAACTGTTGAGTTTAGAGCTGACTGGTGGCGCAGGTCTTTAATCCCAGTGCTCAGCAGACAGAGGTAGGCGAATCTCTGTGAGTTCTGGGCCAGCAGGAGTTACAAGGTGAGACATTGTCTCAAAAATTTGTAGCAAAGCACCTAATCAGGTGAATGGACTTGGAAAGAACTGCAAAAGCAGGGACTTCACAGGGGCAGGTTAGTCTACAAAGAACGTGATAGGAGTTGGCGTTACAAATTTTTTTTTTTTTTTTTGATTTTCGAGACAGGGTTTCTCTGTAGCTTTTGGTTCCTGTCCTGGAACTAGCTCTTTGTAGACCAGGCTGGCCTTGAACTCCCAGAGATCCGCCTGCCTCTGCCTCCCGAGTGCTGGGATTAAAGGCGTGCGCCACCACTGCCCGTCATTTTGTTTGTTTTTCGAGGCAGGGTTTATCTTTGTAGCCTTGCTGTGCTGGACCTCGCTCCATAAACCAGGCTCTCCTCAAACTCACAGAGAGCCACCTGCCTCTGCCTCCACAGTGTTGGGATTAAAGGCGTGCACCACTACTGCGTGGCTTCCAAGACCTATTGTGCGTCTTGGAACAACTATGTAACGGGCTGTGTATGAATTGTTTAGGACACAAAGGAATAAAGTGTGGGCTCCTGTGTTTGATAAAGTCGAAGTCTAAAGAAGGAGGCAAAGATAGGCCTGGTGGTGCAGGCCTGCCATCTCAGTTACATAAGAGACTGAAGCAGAGGAGGATGCAAGTTCAAGGCCTCTCTTGTTTTAAGAAAAGCATTGGGGACGTAGCTCAGTGGTACAGCATTTGTCTAGTGTTTACTTCAGGTTCAGTTCCAAGTGCCGCAAAAAATAGTACAGAAACAACATGTAATACAGCCTGTTGTTAGTGTGCTCTGGGCCTCATGCAGTGGTTCATGCCTATAAGGATCACTGAAAATTTGAGACCAGCAATGCTGAGGAGATGCAATGCCTTCTGATTTGGAATCTGTCTCTCAGTGCTTCTGATTTGGAATCTGTCTCTCAGTGCTTCTTGCACTCTTAATTTATCCCCCCCACCCTTTTTTTTTTCTCTATAGCTTCACCCCCTGAGGAACCACACTCTGACAGGTGAGTACAGGCCACCTTTTAAAGAAAATGCCCAAATGTGGTCTGCTTGCTATGTTCAGATCAGCTCAAAGATGAGCAAGGCTGCCCCTTCTGCAGGCGTAGGTCCCAGTATAGTGAAGGAGCGTGCAGCAAGCAAAAGTGTGTTGGCCTTAGGCTTCTATGCAGATGCTGTGTGCCTTCTCCTGTAGAGGTAGAAAGTTGAGTACCCTGGGAATTTGCTTCCCAGGACTGGGAGGACCTCCTTTTGGGGAGGTGGGGTTTGCACATCTCCAGATGGAAGAGCTGGTCTGCGATCTCAAAGTGATGTGAGTGCCTTAGAAAGCTGGCTTCTGAGGCTTCCAGGGGTCATGTCGTGTCTTCCCCAGTGAGGGTGCGGGGTCAGGCGCCCAGCCGCACCTGCTGAGTGTGCCCGAGTTGTGCAGATACCTGGCTGAGAGCTGGCTCACCTTCCAGATTCACCTGCAAGAGCTGTTGCAGTACAAGAGGCAGAATCCAGCTCAGGTAAACTTCATCCTGTAGCAGTTCCTTGGAGCCAGAGGGGATGGGAGAGGAGCAATATAAGCAGTGTCTCTTGTAAATTTCCCAATTGGTTCCGTTCTTCCACCAGAGGAATAGTAGTTCCTTCCCGGGTGACTGGGCACATGGTTTAGTCCAGTGTTCTTCATAGATCCTGTGCTCTTCTCTGCAGTTCTGTGCTCGAGTCTGTTCTGGCTGTGCTGTGCTAGCTGTGTTGGGACACTATGTTCCAGGAATTATGATTTCCTACATTGTCTGTGAGTGGAGGCTACCCCTGCCCTTTCCAAAGCCCTTTCTATTCTTCTTTCCCTGGATTGACCCAAAGGAAAAACTGCATTTTCTATCATTTACCCATCTGGGGAGGAGAGTGGTAGATGGGGAAAGAGGATGTCGTTGCCTTGAGAAAGAATCTCATCTTTATTTAGACCCACCTGTTTAGGGGACAGTTTAAATGAAGGCTCTTGGGAAATTGGCATTCTGAGCTCTGAGTGGACTTCCTAATCCATAGTGCTGAGTATCCTGCTGTGGCCCCTGGTGGTTTATCATGAACTGATCCAGAGGATGTACACACGCCTAGAGCCCTTGCTCATGCAGTTGGACTACAGCATGAAGGCAGAAGCCGATGCCCTGCATCACAAACATGACAAGAGGAGTAAGGGATTCTCTTAACCTAGGGTGAAAGGCGGGGAGGGCCTGAGGTTTATAGCTCATGATATGTCCTAAAACTTCAATCGTTTCCAGTTCCTTAGTCATACTTGTTTCCCGCTATTGTCTTTGCTCATGTTGCCTTATTACCCTTCTCTAGAGCGGCAAGGGAAGAATGCTCCCCCAGCAGGTGATGAGCCACTGGCTGAAACAGAGAGTGAAAGCGAGGCAGAGTTGGCGGGCTTCTCTCCAGTGGTGAGATCCAGGGAAGATGGGTGTGAAGTAGAAGACCAAAGGGAAGCTAGTTATGGTGATGCACACTTATTTGAGAGGTGGAAGCAGAAGGATCAAGAATTCAAGACCAGCCTAGTTTTCATTATGAGTTTGAGACCAGCCTGGCCTGTATAAGACCCTATCTCCAAAAACTAAAAAGGCAGAGGGAGGGGCGAGGATCTAGCTGCTCTCGAGCTACCACTTCTCAAGTAGGTGGAAGCCAGAAGGCTTGGGGGTCAAGTGTTTTTCCCTCCTTTTGGATTCATCCTGGTTCTCCTGCAGGTGGATGTGAAGAAAACAGCACTGGCCTTGGCTATTACAGACTCAGAACTGTCAGACGAGGAGGCCTCTATCTTAGAGAGCGGCGGCTTCTCTGTTTCTCGGGCCACCACCCCACAACTGACAGATGTTTCTGAGGGTATGAACAGCCTTTTGCCCCTCTTAATCTTCCTGTTCCCTGATTCCGAGTTGTTGCTGTGTTCTCTGAGTTCCAAAAGTGCTTACTCCGGCTAGCTGATTCTCTAAATCTACCCTAAGCTCCCGGAAGACCTTAGCTTAGTATTCCATCCTCATTTTGCCTTGTTTTGTGGAGTTTGTTTGTTCTTTTATTGTTCTTAGATGTTTCTTTTATGTGTATGAGTGTTTGGCCTGCATATATGTGCATACCACGTGCATACCTGGTACCTGCAAAAGTCAGAAGAGGGCAACTGATCTCCTGGAGCTGGACTTATGGATGATTATGAGCTACCATGTGGGTCCTAGGAATCAAATCAGGGTCCTCTGCAAAAGCAGCGAGTGCTCTTAACCATCAAGCCATCTCTCTAGCTCTGCTTTGCTTTTTGAGAAAGGATTTTTTTATATAGCTCAGGCTTGCTTCAGACTTTGTGTAGCAGAGGATGACCTGAACTCCTGATCCCTCCTGCCTCAACTTCCCAGATGCTGGGATTACAATAGTCATATGCCACAGGGCCTGGCTTCCCATGTTATCTTCATGAGCATATGGCTTTTGTGACCAGAGAAGCCAACCTGTTCTTAACCCTTTATTCTTTGCACAGATTTGGACCAGCAGAGCCTGCCAAGTGAGCCCGAAGAGGCTCTGAGCCGTGAACTGGGTGAGGGGGAAGAGACAGAGCTGGCCCCTCCTGAAGACCTGCTAAATGCCCCTCCAGCCCTCTCAAAGCAAGCCCTGGATACAGAAGAGGCTGCAGTCAAGGAAACCTTGCTTCAGCTCTCATCCCCTCTTCACTTTGTGAATACGCACTTCAATGGGGCAGGGTCCCCCCAGGATGGAGTGAAATGCTCCCCTGGAGGACCAGTGGAGACCCTGAGCTCAGAGGCAGTGAGTGCTGACATAATGGCTCCACCCAGCGCCCTCTCACCCCCACTTTGCCCTGCTGAAAGTGGTCCAGTTACCCTCCTTTCCCCCTCTGTGCTCCCATCCCTTCCCCAGGACTCACCTCAACCCCTGGCTGCCCCTGAGGAGGAAGAGGCGCTCACCACTGAGGACTTTGAGTTGCTGGATCAAGGGGAGCTGGAGCAACTGAATGCAGAGCTGGGCTTAGGACCAGAGATGCCCCCAAAGCCCCCTGATGTTCTGCCTCCTCCTCCCCTTGGGCCAGACAGCCATTCTCTGGTACAGTCAGACCAAGAGGCTCATGCAGCGGTTGAGCCATGAGCCATGGCAGAATGAGCTGCAGGCATAGTAGGGCTTCCTGACTAGGGATGTCATGTTTCCTCCTTTCCCTGCCACTCTGGGGAAAGGCACTATGTGGAGAAGCTGGCTGTCAGATGGCAGCCAGCCCATTCTCTGCCTGCCTGTCTGCCTGCCTGCCTGCTATCCTGGGACCTGGTATATAGTACCTGTGCCTGGGATGGGTTTTAAATTTGTAAATAATTTTCCATTTGGGCTAGTGGATGTGATGGGGCTAGGGAAGTCCTTCCATAGCCTGCACTTGCTTCCCTGCCTCATCTCTTCTCATTCTACTATGTCCCAAGCCCTGGTGGTCTATCCTTTCTCTCTCTTCCTATCCTCAGGGACCTGTGCTGCTCTGCCCTCATGTCCCATTGGTTGTTTAGTTCAGGCACTTTATCATTTTCTCTACTGTCCTACACTTCCCTTGGCTTTATTTCCCTGCTGTGTCCTGTCCTTAGCAGCGTCATCCCCACTCTTTGCCAACCTCTTCTTCCATAGGCACTGGCCAACTTGTAGGGCAGGTTCTCTTTGGAGTGGCGACAGGTCAGCAGTCCTGCACTTAGGTCACTGTAGCCTCCAGCCTGCACTGTACCCTTGCCCGGTTCAACCCTCATGATGCAGGAGAGCAGGGTCCCATAGCACTTTGCCAGCACTGGGGTTGATGAGCACGCTCTCTCTCTTTTTGAGGTGAGGGACTTCCCTGCTGTCTTAGGAAGAACAAAACCTACTCTTCTGGACCACAGTTGAGACTCTGCTAGGGTCTAAAGTGGATAGAAACATCTGTGTAGGTGTTAACTGGAAAAATAAAGTGTTGATTGGCTAGAACTCTTGCCTGCTTGCCTGCCTGCCTCACTGTGAGCTGCTCCCACACTGTGTACTTTGTCCCCTCCTGACCTTTATGCCCTTCATCCCAGTACTGCCCCTAGTTGGTTATTTTCCTTGGTGTAAAACAAAGCCAGAAGCAGGGATTATCCTGAAAACTCAGCCAGCTCAACCATCTTCCTGGAGTGTGTGGTATGTAGTGAGACTTAGCATGTATGAATAAATTACATGCAGTAGGAAACTGCCTTGTCTTCCCAGTCAATGGAAACATGGAACCATAACAGTTGTTCCTACTGTATGCTTAACCCTTTAGTATTGTCTCCTTAAGTACCTATCTACCTGCTAGCAACTCAGTCTAACGTCTACACTAGGCCCACTAACCACCAATGGAGGTCTGTACATATTAACAAAAGTTCAGGCCAAGGGACTAAAGAAATAGTATCTAACATTTTTTAAAGTATAATACATGTTTGGCACTATTCTAATTAATTTATGTGGTTATTTTCAAGATGGGGTTTCTCCGTGTAGCCCTGGCTGGCCTGAAACTCAGGAGATTTGCCTGTCTCTGCCTCCCGAATGCTGGGATTAAAGGCATGGGCCACCACCACTGAACCAACTCTAAGTGATTTTATATATAATAATAATTGGGGGCTTTTCCTCAACTTTTAAAACGAATTGGCTTATAGTTAGGCATTGTGGCTCACATTTGTAATCCCAGCAGTTGTGAGGCTGAGGCCGAATGAGAGCTTCAGGCAGGCCTGGGCTACTGAAAGAGAACACCCTATCAAAAACAAGCCTACCACGATAAAAAAAAAATATTGCTATTAACTTGATTTTTAAACACAGCTTAACTTCCTGAAGAGCCACAAGGCTCTAGAGATCGAGCCATGATTCAAACCTGGCAAGTGATGCCAGCAAACACAGTTAAGCTCTTGTCCGATGATGGGCACCCAGAACAAAGCCAGGAACTGAGAACACCAATCTAGTATCTTGGCTTTGTGGAGAGTGCACACTTGGCTGTCATTTCGCTGTGGTGAACAGTTCAGAACAGAGCCAGTGGTTTGCTTAATGAGACTCATCATATCCTCAGCCTTCAGCTGCAGGTCCAAATGTAGTAATCCTAATTTGTCTTCGAGGTTGGTGGCTAGACAGGTATGTCCCAGTGTATCCCATACATGAGAGAATTTTCTGGGGTGTTTCACATTTGAGAGTCAGTGTTGACTGAGGCCTGGTTGTACTGCTGAAGGAACATGAACTAATGCAGAGATTTCTGTTTCTGCCAAGAATGCAAAAACATCTAACCAATGAATAGGCATTCCCAAAAGGAAATAACCAATCAAAAAGAGTTGTTGCCTTAACCGGTTTCCTTGTTAATCTCAAAGTTTGAACTTAGAACACTGTAGCTGGATCAAAATATTTGCGGTTTGAAGTCTTCACACTTACCATTGTCTGATGTGTTCTCTGTGTTTTGTTGGTAATGATGTCCACTATGAGATGTCCTGGCCAGTTTGTGTTCTACTGAAGAGCATGAGAAGCTTTTCCTGAGTCAGGAAAATGAGCAGAAATGTGAAACCCATTATTAGGACACACACATACACACATAGTGCCAGTAACCAGGCAGGCAGGACTGAAGGACTGGGCATAGGTTAAGGCCAGCCTGAGTTGCATAAGAGACTGTCCTGGCATCGGGGAGGGGGAGCAGGTCTAATGAGATGAATTGGTTACATCTTCTGGGAGGGGGAACTGTATGTTTTGTTAATTTAGCATATCCACATAGTAAATAGTGTAACTTGTCTGCCTTATTGGAAATGTCTTTTTTTTTTTTAATGTGCACTGGTGTTTTTTTGCCACGGGTGTTGGGTCCCCTAGAACTGGAGTTATAGACAGTTGTGAGCTGCCATGTGGGTGCTAGGAATTGAATCCAGGTCCTCTAGAAGAACAATCAGTGTTCTTAACCACTGAGCCAGCTCTCCAACCTGGAAATATAGTCTTTAATAAGCAAGTAAAACTTCTATGTCATTCCTAAATTAGCATGCTTCCACAAAGGAAGGCTCTGTGTATTGTATTTATTGACAAATTAACAGACTACAATATACCCAAGAGAAGACTGCCAGAGGCTGGATACTGTAGGCAGAATTCTTGAAGGAACTGGAAATATTTAGTCCAAAAAAGAAATGAGTTGGATTATATTACCTGCCTTCAAAGTTTGAAGGATTGTCAGTAAGACTTCAAAAGGAAGAAATGAATTGAGTGGCCATGGATAGATAAAAATACTAGATAGAATTTAGTTTTCTGACCAAGACACACAGCAAAACAGAATGATCTGAGGAGGCCCAGGGAGGGGGCCAGGGTGTTTGGATTTTGTTTCTTGACAGTGTCTCCTGTAGCTCAAACTACCTTCTAACTCTTGATTTTCCAGCCTCAGCCTCTGAGGGGCTGGTGTTAGATACACAGAAGCATAAAGGAGCAAAGAACAGGTAAGATTGGTGATTTTTATGGGGGTGGGGTGAGGCAAAGCAAGAACTCTTCCCCTGAACAACACCCCAACATCCCAAATGATGTTTAAAGTCAGCAGTTCTGAGAATAATTGTATCGTGGAGGGAACATACATACTACTTTGCTTTTTGTGTCCAACTAAAGTCGGCTTCTCCCGCCTTCAATACGGGTATATCACTGTGTGTCACTGGGCCGTGTCATTGTACTCTGCCCACTCATCCTGGGTAGTTTCACGTCGACCTGTTTCATTCTTCCTCATATGCTGATAATGTCTATATCATAGTTGAGTTCCTTTCCCAGAATTTGAATGCTCTGTGGATACCTCTATTCAATCGATCAACAACTGAACTCTCTATTCTGCATTCCACCCACCTGCCTCCTACAGCAGCCTGTTCCTGTATTTTTTATACTGCTTTTTGACACTGTCAATCTACAAAGGCTCATTTTTCTTCACCCTTCACCCAGGAGCTCTCTAGTTGTTTCTAGTTTTGTGTCTTAGCCAGGTGTGGTGCTACATGGTGAGACCCTGCTATGAGGGTGGGGCTCCAGGTTTAGTGAGATACTTTCAAAAAATAAGGTACAGACATTTAATCCCAGCATGCAGGAAGCATAGGCAGGCAGATATCTGAGCTCAGACCAGTCTGGTCTACATAGAAAATTTTAGGTAAGGTGACAAAATACAGTTAAAAATGTAGCAGAAGTTTACCATCCCATGCACAAATACACAGTGGAATATATATATATATATATGTATATATATTAGTATATATATTAATATATATAGGTATATAGATAGATAGATAGATAGATAGATAGATAGATAGATAGAGATACAGATACAGATATATAACAGGCTGGTCTTGAAATCACAGAGATCCACCTGCCTCTGCCTCCCAAGTTCTTTGATTAAAGGTGTACACTACCACCATCCAGAACATAGTGGAATATTTAGACAAGTAAATAGAATGTGCAAGTAATAATTACAAACAAAATAGAAATTTTGTAAACAATATTGAGCAAAATAAACTAGACACAATCACATATATAATTTCATTTATACAAAATGTATAAAGCTATATGTAATGTTAGCAACTACCTTTGTGGGTAGAAAACCAGTGGCTGAAGAGGTCTTCTGAAGCTCAACATCTATATTTCCCTCTATTTGGTGCTGTAACTGAACCAAAAGTCCCACAAATTCTTGGTAAGTATTGGTATCACTGCACTACCCTTAGCCACTGAGTTATTCTGCAGGCTGGTTATGCGGGAATGTTCGTTTATGAGAACTTGTTGGGCTATCTAATTTTGTGTTTGTGTCACCCTTGCTGTGGTCTGGATGTTGATGTCACCTGCTTCAGGTCATTTGTGCTACTGTGATAAACATCTGAGTCTGAAGATCAAGGATCTGAACTGGGCGGTGGTGGCACATGCCTTTAATCCCAGAACTTGAGAGGCAGAGGCAGGAGGATCTCTGTGAGTTTGAGGCCAACCTGGTCTATAAGAGTTCAGACAGAACAGGCTCCAAAGCTACAGAGAAACCCTGTCTTGAAACACCCCACCCCCACCAGAAAAAAAAAAGATCAAGGATCCGACAGATTCTGTGTCTGGTGAAGGCCAGATCTACTTCCAAGAGAGCCTTCCAGAGGGGTCTGGTGTCCTTACATGGCAGAAGGATGAAAATGAAAAGGGCAAACAGCAATTTTGTACTTCTTTTAGAGTCTTGAATCCCATTCATAAGAGTTTCATCCAGCCGGACTGATGTAAATGGGTCTTCTTTCTATGTGTTGCTTTCATTGGTTAATTAATAAAGAAACTGCTTGGCCTGATAGGTCAGAACATAGGTGGGTGGAGTAGACAGAACAGAATGCTGGGAAGAAGGGAAGTGAGTCAGACTCTATGATGTAGGCTAGAATTTTCCCGGTAAGCCACCATCTCGTGGTGCTACACACTTTAATAGAAATGGGTTCATCAAGATGTGAGAGTTAGCCAGTAAGAGGCTAGAGCTAATGGGCCAAGCAGTGTTTAAAAGAATACAGTTTCTGTGTTATTTCCGGGGCTAAGCTAACCATGTGGGAGCTGGACAGGACAAAGAGCAGGCCTGCCCATGGCTCCCACTACACAGGATGATGATAGTGCACACCTTTAATCCCAGCACTCGGGAGGCAGAGGCAGGCAGATCTCTGTGAGTTTGAGGCCAGCCTGGTCTACAAGAGCTAGTTCCTGGGCAGGCAACAAAGCTACAGAGAACCCCTATCTCCAAAAACAAAACAAAACAAAACAAAAAACCTTCAGAAAGAATAGATGTTTGTACAACAATTGGCGTCACAAAGGGAATTAAGGATGACTTTTATGATATTGCAAACATGCTAAACTTGAAGTAATGAAGCAAATGTTAGGTCATGTAAGGCTCTTCTGTCTTAGCTTATGAATTTTGACCTGGAGAACAACAGGATTGAGGGCTACTTTGTCAATCTATTGTGACCTGGCTCTGTTGGTTGTCTGTCCAATAT